CTATCAACATGTTCTTGAACACGTAATTCTGCACATTCCCAATCCTTCAAACATATCAAAGCCTCCAATATATCTTCTTTTAGTCTTGATCGTTCATCTGATAAAATTCGACCACCTAAACTGAATGCAGCCTCCGATGCTACCGTAGACACCGGAGGTGTTAGTAGATCACGTGCAATTTTTGATACAATTGGATATTGCCTTTCGTTACATCTCCACCAATTTAAAAGACTAAATTCTTGTAATTCGTGCGGTTGCAACACACTACGAACATCCACGCATATATACCTAGCTAACTCAGAAGTAATTTCAAGATTTGTACCACCAATATTGATTGCTCTAGATGTTGATGAGCTAGAACTAGAACTAAATGAAGGAGCACTTGTATTGCTATCTAAATAATTCCATAAAGTTTCGGGATTTGTTGTAATATTTCTTGAAAAAGAACTTTGGGAAGTAGAACTATGCTGACCTTCCTTTTCAGCATAATAATTATACATTTCACATAAAAAAGATTCTATATGCACGTGTGATAATTCTATATTCAAAAAATCTGATATCCCCTTTACAGTAGTTTTTGTGCCAGTTAAATTAAGTCGAGGGTCCATTACTGAAGCTGAAAGAAATAAAGAAGGCAACTCTTCCCAATATTTACAAAATTTTAACTCCATAGAGCGGACTACATCAACAAAAAGTGGCAAATTCCTATATTTATGAAATGCTTGTGAAATGTAGAAAAAATGTTGTAAAACAAGAGAAAATGTAGGGTAATAAACACTGCTACATTCCTTTGTAGCATCGAAAAAAGGTTGTAAGAATTTTTTCACGTAAAATGCAATAGTCCATTCCCAATCTTCCAAATTATGTTCGGGTCCGAGTGTATGCCTACCATTATAATATAGTGAAATCACTTTATCGTAATTTTCACATGAATGTAACATAAGATATGTAGAGTTCCACCTGTGTGTTACATCAGTGGCAAATGATTTCTCCTGTAATCCATACTCTGCACACAAACTATTAAATGCTTGTTTTCTTGCTGGTGATACAGTAATAAAATTTATTGCTTGTCTAATTTTATCTAAAGGTGAACTTATATGTTCTAATCCAACTTTTACAATCAAATTAATAATATGACATACGCAACGTTGATGAAAAAATAAATTTCCAAATACGGGATTAAGATCAGCAATAAATCTTTCAATAACAACTTTGTTCACTGCAGCATTATCAAAAGTAAAACTTCGAACCATATCTTGTATACCATATTCCTGTATGATATCTTTTAAAACCATGTATATATTAGTGGCATTATGGGGAAATTCTACACATCTGAATGCAATAATTCTTTTATGTAGAAGCCACAGGTGATCAATATAATGAGCCGTAGCAGCAATATAACCTTTTCTATTACAACCAGTCTATAAATCAGAAGTAAACGATATAACATTATTAAAACTTTTTAGACCTTCAATAGTAATTTGTTTTCTTCTGTTACATAATTTTATGCTATCCGAACGAAGAGTATTTCTAGAATAAGAAGAATACCTCGGTTGGAGATATTTCTGCACGAGTCGGGTAAAGTGTATTGAGTCTATCATCGTAAGCGGCATCTCTGCTACAGCCACGTATGCAGCCATTCCTTCACGAAATCTTTCCTGTGAATATATAAAAGTGGAAAGAGTAGAATTAGAACCGCCAAACACTAGTTCGGTTTGTTTCGAGTCGAGATCGACTGGTTTTGCTTTGCAACTCCTCAATACGTGTCTATTCAAATGCGTTGTGCTCGAGCCAAGCTTCCAACTAAGTTCTTTGCCACAATAATTGCAACATGTTTTTCAAATATCTACTCCATTTTGAACACCAATTTTTTTCGTGTCATATGTTGCCAACAGTCCGATGATTCTTTTTTTGACCTTTTTGTCTCGAGTACTTGAACTTCTTCCTCTTCAATATCTTCCAAATTAATTGGAACATTTTCACATGCATCGTAGTTAGATGGAGTACTCGAACTACGGCCAAACTGATTAACTTCATCACTTGTAAAATCCATAATAACTAATATAATAAAAAATACTGAATATTAGACTGTAAAGTGAAAGAAATTGAATATATTAATTGTTATATGAGAAGTAAGAAAGAAGAAATTGAAACTTGAATCTGAATCTATGATATAGAAATAATGCGAATTAAAATCGATAGCAAAGTGATTTAAAACTTCAAAAATTATCTCGTATTTATAGATAAAAAACCCGCATTATTTTTCAAATTTGAATTTCAAATTTGAATTTCAAAAAGATAACAGTATAATCAATGTATTAATACGAAAAAAAAGGCAGCTATAGCTGCCTGTGACCTGCTGCCTAAGGCAGGCAGCAAGTAAAAAAAAAAATTTTTCAAAATTTTTTTTTTCTTTAATTTGCTCGGGGCGAGCATTTTTGTCACGGGCCATTTTTGGCCCGCGACACGAGCCGGCCTCTTATTTTGAGGCTCGGCCCGAGCCTAGGCTCGATCCCTACGAGCCACGAGCCGAGCCACCGAGCCTTTTTAACACTCCTAACAAACCCTAAAGAGAAGGGTTTGGGCCAAACCCACTAAGCAAGCCCAATAGCGAAAACATAAATAATAGTCCAAATAGAAAATAAATAATAAATGGATGTCCGCATCAATTCTCCTGGGGTGGGAGAAAAACTCGACCCCGTCGAGTAGATAAAGCAGAATGTTGCACTGAATCAGATGCGAAAGGCTCCAAGTCATGCCACGAGGGACGATCTTTCTCGATGACCAAATACCGAAACTCCACAAATGATAGCAAGGATAGTTGTAGCTTATCCTCAAGGATATGATCCAACCAAGAAGGACGATCTTTCTTTGTAATCACATACCGATACTGAACTCCCAATAGTAAAAATTCATGCCACTCATCTCCAAAATCTTCCTCATTGGTCAACACAACTTGTTTATCTAAAATAGCATCAATTACATCTTTGTGTGCTGTGACATGTGTTATTGGAGTGAAAATGGTAATATATTTAGGTTGGGGATCCACATAAGGAAGTAGAAAAGGATCATCAAGGAAATTAAAAAGGCCTTTGTAAGTAACTAAGTCTTCAATATGTAAAGTAGAGTGGTGGCCAAAATGTGATGAAAAATTAATGACATGTGCGTATGGACCAATATGCTTTAAAACTTTAAAAGGACCAGCACTACCGGCTTGCAATATAACATAATTCCCAAGATGAAATTGAAAATATTGTTTATGCAAATCAGTTTGAAGTTTATATAATGCATTACTTGCGTGAAGTTGTTTATGGATCTTAATATGCAAGTCATGAAGATGATGCACAAATGCTTCAATTGATATCGACACACTAGCATGTGGGAACATGGAAATAAGGTCTAACGGCCGCCTAGACTTATAACTATGAACAGCTTCAAATGGATTCAAACCTAGAGATCGATTTACAGAATTGTTATACGCAATTTGAACAGTTGGGGGAATCAAGTCCCAATTTCTAAGATTTTTTTGGACTAGAGACTTGAATAAATTGTCAGGACTTTGGTTAACGACTTCATTTTGACCATCAGTTTGAAGTTGGTCAGTAGTGGGGAATGTTGATTTAATGCTAACCACAGGCGATTGGATTCTCCAAGGGTGGCCAGTGAAATCATCAAACTCTTTGAGTTGTGCAAGGGTATAACATATAACATGTGACTGAGAGTTGTCAGAAACAAGGGGTATAGTATCTAAAGTCTCGGGAAGAGTCTGGAGTCTACCTAAAGAAGTGTCCTCACTATCATCCAAGTCATCAAAATCTTCAAGTTTAGGTTCATAAACTAGATCTTCTAATGGCATATCTATTACATTCTTTCGTTCTTCCATGACTAAGGTTCGATTAGTACATTTGGAGGAAATGTGGCCAAAGTCCTTACAGCTGACGCACAACAAGTGAGAAGAAGTCCTTGAAGTTTCAAAAATTGTACCCTTATTTTCCAAGATTGTATGAAGATTAGACGGGGAAGGTCTTAGAAGGAACTTAACGGGAGAAGGTGGAGCCAATGAAATTGAAGGATGTTTGTCAATATGCTTTCTACATGGAGAAGAAGATCTTGGACTATCACGACCTTTATAATTATTTTTCCAAATAGGAGGAACATTAGACGGAGAAAGCTTTATGATAGACTTATGACGAGGCGATGCTAATGGGATGGGTGAACGACGATGATCACGCCTTTCATATGGAGTACTAATAATCAACTCATAATCTCGAGTTAACGAGTAAACGTGATCAAGAGTAGTGACACCTCGAAGAAAAAGCTCACGCCTAAGATCATCTCTCAGACCTTGGCTAAACCTACTCAAAGTCGTAGTCTCGTCCTCAATTAAATGATATTTGCTTCGAAATTCTTCAAATTGTGCGATATACTCAGTCACTAGTTGATTTCCTTGTTTAAGGGCATTCCATTGAGTAAGAATTTCAAAATTATCTCATTCTCGCTCACGAATCTGATCCCTATACCTACGATCGTGTCTAAAGCATTTTTGATCACCATGATGATGATGATAATGTCTATTATGGGACACTTTGGATTTATGAACGTCGGTTGAACGAGGGATTTTCTTAAAGTTGTTCAAATTAGCAGATAAAGCCTTACTTTCTTCAAGAGTAGTAATCACCTGAGTTTGGATAGTCGCTATTTGTCGGGTGAGTGCATCAAATTGTGAGGGGTTCATGTTTAAAGTAGTAAAGTGACAGGACGACCACTAGGCAATTGTACGCAAAGCAATACTACCTAATGAAATGCAATAGAGAGACCAATATGCATCAAGGACCAACGATTAAAACATCAATTTGAAATTCTCTCTCTCTCTTTTCTTCCCTTCCAAAAATGCAAGTTAATAGTGCTGATACTTGTAAATAATAAAGCAAGGGTCCAATGCTTGTCAAAATCAAATGGTATTGTCAAGATTTCCAATCAGGTAGATAAAAGAGGTAACAATGGCACATCAATTCAGTGAGATAAATGGGGCAACAATGGCAAGTCAATTCAATGAGTGATTCCAGTCAAGTGAAGTTTGAGGCTAAAGTTGTGATAGTAACAGCAACACAAAGAATCTAAGTGATGCACTTTTAAAATAAAACAGCAGTATAAAACAATGAGAATTAGGAGAGAGCAACTCCCTGTAGTCTAGTTGCCTGAATTGCTAACGATTGGGCCTCTGATCTGCTTGTGTCAAATGTCTCCAGCTCCTGAACTCACAGTCATTGCATATTCTAAATTGTTGGCTTCACTGAAATTGGACAGATGCTGAAATAGAAACCTCTGTGTAACTGAATGGGTTGCTTGGTAGTAGACTGAAACTGTAGACGCTAGCTTATGGAAATAATGAGCAATGGCAGTTCACAAATGGCGAGAAGTGGCCGGCTTCTGGGATAATGAGCAATGGCCGGCCGATTGATGGTCGGCCGACTAAGTGGTGAAGTCCGACTGGGGTGCAAGTCGGCGACGGTGACGGGTAGGAGGGAACGGGCGACTGGACATCGTGGGTATTGACGGGGTGAGCTGCTGGTCGTGGGGAGTGACAGGATGAGTTAGGGCTCGGGTTGGGAAATTGATTTGGGTAGTGAGATAGGAGTTGGGTTGGGCCGAGTATTGTGAGTTGGGCCGGCGATTGGTGTAATGGGCTAATGTGGGTGTGGGCTGGATAATTGGTTTGTATGGTAATTGGGTCTTGTGGGCTTGGAGTATAAGTAGAGTTGGAATAATGAATGAATGGGCTGCTGTAATTGGGTTAGGGATATGGGCTTGACCGAGTCTATGGATTACGAATTAGTGGGTTAGGTGGGTTTGGGCTGTGTTCAATATGGGCTGAGTTTAGACTGAAAATTATGTTGGGCTGGAATATATGTTGGGCTAGAATATATGGAATTGAAAAAAAAAATATAAGCTAGGGTTTGAAACGGCAACTTTAATGCAAAAGGAAGCAGCAAATCAATCAAATTGAACAGCAGATTTTTTTTTTTTTTTTTTTTATACTACAGAATGAAAATCAAAAATTTGGAATCCGGGGTGTGAACAGTACCCGCGAACAGTAACACGATTTTTTTTTCCAACTAACTCTGAAAATTGAAGAATAAAATTGCTGCCTTTACCAAAATCCTTTTAATTTGTGCTGTCCCAACAAAATTTGGGAGAAAAGAAGAGATTTTGGATTGTAAAAGAAAGTACCCAAGATTCGGCTCTGATACCAAATTTGATGTAGAATGAACAAGAAAGAAAGAAGAAGGAACGGGGAGGAGAAACAGAGAAAAGGGAGAAGAGGAGAAAAAACCAGAGGAAGAGGGGAGGGAGAAAACGGCTGCAAGCCACCAAAAATATTTCAATTCTAATTCATCATCAACTGTCTCAAATGAGAAACAAAACAGAAATAAATAGCAGAACACAAACCCTAAAGAGAAGGGCTTGGGCCAAACCCACTAAGCAAGCCCAATAGCGAAAATATAAACAATAGTCCAAATAAAATATAACTAATAGTCCAAATAGAAAATAAATAATAAATGGATGTCCGCATCACAAGTTTTGAGCCCAAGCTATCAAAAGAATATTGCACCGTTCAGGAAGTAAAGGGGACTTGCTAAATTCCCGATTTCACTGCTCGTACTTTATTGTGCAGTAGGCATTTCAAGGATAGAACTCCTTCACTACAATCAAGTAATGATTCAATGTGATCATAGAGCATGTTTATGTCCTTCACTACATATCAATCCTAGATTTCTTATCAATTTCAAGCTTCTAGCGTGTCTTGAGTGGTAATATAATCTCCTTACTCTTGCAGCTATTTCATGACTTGTGCCTCTGTCGATTACTGGGATGTTGTATTTCCACGTCTTTTTGCTTTGAAGGGATTTTCTTTAATCTCTCTTCATGGAAAGATGAAGCAGGTAATTTTGAAAATTACAACGAAAAGTTTGTACATGATATGTTTCATGCTTGTCTATGAAATGCATTTCTCAACTTTCTGAATTGCAGGCTGCAAGAGAAAAAGCATTAGCATCTTTCACATCACTTTCTAGTGGCGTTCTTCTTTGCACGGATGTAGCAGCTCGTGGACATGACATTCCTGGCGTTGACTGTACAGTACAGGTAGTTTAGGGAAAGCTGTTATTTAAGTCTCTTATATGTTTTTGTTTATGAAAACTTGTGTAGCACAACTTTGGTCCCTCACTTAAATGGATCTCATGAGTCTAACAATCTGGAGCATGCAATTTTCTTTGAAATCATCACTTTGCTGCTTGAGTGTTTGTGAACTAAGCGTCTAGTGCTGCCTACTTCTGGTATCTATTTTATCGAACAAGATAAAATAGAAATGGGAAAGGATTATAAGAAATCATAATCGTTTCCTAACATAAGGAATTGAATATGGCAAGGTAAGTTGCTATTAGCATTGGTTCAGAACACAATTTAAACTGAGGGTAATAATAATTGATTATTTTATATCGTCTTTAATCTGCTAATCTGTTACTGTACCTTTAACAGCATCTAATTTTTGCTGTTTTTATTTGCCGCATGACCCCCTCAGGACCCAAATGTGTTTGTACACAGAGTTGGTCGAACTGCTAGGATGGGACGACAAGGAAGTGCCATTGTTTTCCTGATGCCAAAGGTTTGACTCTTACAGATGATACAAATGATTGTCTTTTCCGATTGATTAAAAATTATGATCTTTTTTTGTTTATCACCTAGGAGGAAGCATATTTGGAGTTCCTGTGGATAAAAAGAGTTCCAGTTTAAGAGAGAAAATGCTCCGACGAAGCTACTGATATTATTCATCAGGTGAAGACCGATCTTTGTTTAAGTGTAAATCACACATATCTCACTCCAATTTTCTCTGTTGAATGGCCCTTCTTTGAGCCCCATTTTCAGGAGAAAAATGAATTTTTGAATAGTGTATTGATGGAAAATATGTGGTTAAAAAATAAGGAAAAGTTTTGAATTTGTGTGTAATATTATTTTATTGAAGAATGTGTGATTGAAATAATGTCAAAACACTGTAGAAGATTTTTTTTTTTTTTTTTTTTTAAGAATGGGGATCAAACAAGGGCATAGATTGGTTTATGGTTTTTATACGACCAAATGAAATGATGGGGAAATAGGCTTATGGTTAATATATGACTGAATGAATGATGGGGTTACAGGCATTCATTGTTGACTTTTTCCCATGCTATAATAGTAGAAGGGGCAGAAATGATGTATCAAGACACCAAACACAGTGTTAATGTACTGGTATATTCTGTTTTTCCCGTTTGCACATGTTTGCATCTAGGTAAATAATTTTTTATTTTTTTAAATCAAATTTTCATAAACATGCACAGGCAAGCATGTACCCATGTAACAGCTCATTCCATTCCTTATGACGATGTGGAATACCTAGTTTCTGATCTTGAAAGGCCTTATGCCACAAGTCATTCTACTTTTTCACTTCCTCAAGGACCATTATCACAGTCGAAATGCTAAGCCATTTTTTTTTTTTCTTTTTTAATTATCTTGTTCTATAAGGTGATTAACTTCTTCATCCTGGTCTACGATTAATGCTTGTTTATTCATTTTTCTTATCCTTTGCTAAATATGTGCAAATCATCCAAACATTTCTCCTGCAAATTGTGTTCGTCCATTGGATGATGGATATGCTCATTTTGTTTCTGATCGCTATGCTTATCAAATTGAAGAGGCCTCCGCTCTCTCTCTCTCTCTCTCTCTCTCTCTCTACCCACTCGCACATGTAAATGTATATGCTTGTGCTTATGAAACTTGTAATCTACTGTTTATTTTGTCAAAATTTTAGCAACTTTCATTTGTTCCAAATCGTAACCGGGAACTATTGGGCATAGATGCTCTTGTATCTTGACTGAATTGGTAATAATACTTTTTATCAAGGAAACTTATTTCTTACTTATTAATATGATGGGTGAAATGATCTTTATCAGCTGCAAAAAAAGATTGGGATGTTATGGAAAAAGGACTCAGAACTTTTGTATCTTATATTCGTGCTCACAAAGAGCATCACTGTTCTTATATTTTCAGATTGTTTTAGATAATTCAAAATTTTCTTTTATTTCATGCTCCTGTTTTCTTATCTTTTTAGGTTGTTTGAGATATCAAAATTTTCTTCTATTTAGTGCTTGTTGGGTAAAGCTTAAAAATTTACTAATAGTTAGAGGTCAAAAAAGTCAACCATTAATTGTAATCACACATTTTTTGGGACCTAAAACTTTTATCAACTTTTCTAGAACACATTTCAACATTTCATCAATTTTTATCAAAATCTGCTAAAACTTTTACCAAAAGCTTTGTCAAACTATCCCTTTGTGCTTCTATATTGTGTAACTAATTGTCTTTTTTATGCAAAGGTGGAAGGAACTTGAAATTGGGAAGTTGGGCATGGGGTTTGGCTTATTGCAGCTCCCTTCTGTACCTGAGGTAAAGCATTACTCTCTTTCTACCGAGGGTTTTGTTCCGATTGAAGATATAAACCTGGAGGAGATCAAGTACAGGTAAGGACTATTTGCAAATTATATTGTATAGTTGAGTTTTCATTGCGCATGACAGGAGATGCCAGAGTCAAAATTTCTTGATATTTTACATTTTTTTTTAATTGTCAAAAGCTGCAAAAAACGAAGGAATATAGTTTTTTATATCTTCTTTTCATGATGCTGAATAAATTAATGCTTTAGTTTACAATCCCCAAACCCATTAATATATTTTGGTGACTGGGGATGTGTTTTGTTCTGAATCTATTTTGCCATTATTTGTGGCCACGTCAAGGCGGACAAACGTCTTTCATTCATATCAAAAAATGAATTCTCCACAAATATCAGATTCTTTATTGTAAACACAGTCGCTTGTGTTGGCGAATTCTCTGAAATTACTCAAGTTGCTTCGAATTGCATGTATTATTACTAAGCTAGCTTGGACTGACCATATCATGTTTGGCTAAGTTTAAAAATAAGTAAACATTTTGAAGTAAATTTTCATTTGTAAACATATATGAATAAGTTGCTGTCAAAATAAAACCTGCTTCCTACTTTGACCAATAAAATATTATTTGTTTTAAAACTTATTTATTTCCTTCAAGTAAAAGTACAAGTAAACTTTTTTGTGGTTAGCCACATATGATACCATGGCAGCCAATTGTAATCTTGGATATCTTATTTTCATATATGTCCTTTATTCAGAGTTAATTTTTTATCTAGGGATAAATCTCGTGAGAAACAAAGAAAGAAGAACTTAGAAGCCAAGAGAGCTGGAAAAGAGCAAGAACAAGAACTTCTGAAGTCTAAAGCTGCCTCAAATGCTATGCCTGTTGTCGTGAGAAAAAAAAGGGCGAAGCAGAGGCGTGCTTTCCAATCTGCAGAAGATGCAGATGAGTTGGCATGGGAGTATCGACTTCTGAAGAAGCTGAAAAAGGGAGCTATTGATGAAAATGAATATGCAAAATTAACTGGAATGGAAGATTTACTTTGAGACCGGAGTGAGCTGCTCTATCAATGGAAGATGCAGATAAGTTGGCTTGTGAGTATTGGCTGCCGAATAAGCTGAAAAGGGGCGATGACGAAGAAAATGAATGTCCCAAATAACAGTGTCAGAAGTTTTGATTTAAACTGGAGGGGTGATAGTGGATGGTTAAAATTCAACACCGCGCGCTGCAAAGTTATTGCAAGTGCAGAGGTTACAAGATATTAAGGATAAAAGGCAGCATAGTATGTTTACCTTTGGTATCATAGCCACCAAATCAGAAGAAAATTGGCTGGTGGCATGATCCTCCTTTTGCAACTGTAACAATTATTTCTGTTCTGAAGTTTTTTGAGGAAATCGTTTAACTGTCCCGATTAGGACTATCTTTTAAGCTATCGTATCTTTTTGTATTTTCCCTACCAATACAATCTTTAGGTACATAAACATGCAGTTATGCATAAATATTATTGTTGCTCGCAAGAAAGTGGAAAGGATTTCTTGGTGCTTTGAAGGTGCCACTTTATTGGCTTTTCGTTTTTCTTTTTTCTTTTTTCCCTTCAAATCATAGACATTTGTAGACATTTACCTTTTCCTTCCATTTTCCCCCTTGCTGTTAGGGGTATTAGCCGAAATGGCAATATAATCTCATTCTGATCTTTTGTAGACAGAACAAAATAAGAGTAATTAGTTAGAGCATCTTCAAAGCTTTAATGGATGACTATAAAAATTTTGCCACATAAGTAAAATATGTTTAAAATATTGTTCTTAGACGCAATTTGATACGGGCTATGTCAAACTCATATGGTGAAAAAATAGACATGGTCTAGAGCTTCCTCTCGGTTTGGGAGTTCAATTAAATGTGATTTTATTTTATTTTAATCTACTAAGGATTTTGAATAGAACACATTCGATTTGACATGAATGTCTTTTATTACACATAAATGCACTTAAATTGAAAGTCTTTTAACTTGCATGTTTTCAATTTATTTTTATTTTTATTTTTATTTTTATTTTTTATTTCTACATTAATTCTAACACTAGTTGGTGGTAATTTTAGTATAACAATGAGGTGAAGCCGTGAAGAGCTTATGGCAATTGTACAAGTCACAAAGCACAACATTTGAAGTAAAAAATAAAACTATTAGAATTGAAAATGGAAAAAAAAAAAAAGTTATATATATGAAATATTATGTTATATGTCGAGTATATCTTGCCAATTCTAAACATCTAAAAATTAGCTTTTACTTTCACATGAGGAAAATTTAATGCTAATTTTTTATTTTGTTATTTCTCAATTCATTTAATTTAGGAGGCCAGGGACGAATCGAAAAAGAAATCTTTAATTCCCAAACCTCCCATTGTGCCATCCTGCTCTACAAAGAGAAGACAGACCTTGCGAAATACAACTTTTTCATCCGTAAAAGACTTGTAAAATGATGAATTTATCATAATATTTAAATAAACAAAGAAAGAATAAAATAAAAACAAAAAATTAATTGTACTCAAAGTCCCAAATTTTTAACTGCCACAACAAAGAATAATAAGTAAAAGTCGTAATAGTTATCTAATTCATCATTTATAGTTTGCCCAAGATAAAGTATCGGATGGATCATAGACATCCAATCCCTTTGCATCTCTTAGGTCATCTAAGGTTAAATCAAGATCTAGTTCCCAATTAGATTAAATAACTTGTTAATGTTATAAAAAAGAAGAGAACAGAACAAAACAGAGAAAAGTCAATAGACTTGTGTGTATTTTCTTAAGAATCAAAACCCTGTATTTATAGGGCAGAATCAGGGATACAATAATAATTATTTCTAGAGCTGCAGGAGTATAATTGTAATTTACCTCTAAATCCTAATAAACTAACTTTTTACAACACTCCCCTTGAATGACACATTACAAAATACCTGTCTCGTTAAAATCTTGTTTGATAAAAATTAAATGGGAAAAAAATCAAAATGAAGGGAAAAAAGTACAGTTATTTTGGAACATTAAAAATAAATGCTGCATCATTAAAACCTTATTAGGAAAACTAAGTGGGATAAAATCTAAGTGAATGAAAAATAGTATAGTTACTCCCCCTGATATTGATCACTAAAAATCTTTGAGTCGATGCATTTCAATCTCATGAACTAATTTATTGAATGTAAATATTAGCAGTGCTTTTCTAAATAAATCGGCCACATTGTCATTTGAGCGAATTTGTTGGATATTGATGTCGTCAATCTTTTGAAGCTCGTGCATATGAAAGAATTTTAGAGAAATATGCTTCGTCCTATTACCTTTAATATAGCCTTCTCCGAGTTGTGCAATACAAGCTGGATTTTCTTCATACAAAATTGTTGTACTATCCTTTGTTGAAGTTAACCCGCATGATACTTGGATATAATCGGTCATGATTCTCAATTCCACACATTCTTGGCTTGCTTCATGGATTTGCAATAATTTCAGAATGTAGCTGTCAAAGATTGCTTCATAGATCTCCATAATATAGTCGTTCCTCTATGTGTAAACATAAAACCTGTTTGTGATTTAGCTTTATGTGGGTCGGATAGATAACATGTATCTGCATATCCTACTAAAGCAGGTCCCGACTTTTGTGAATAAAATAATCCCAAATAAATAGTACCCTTTAGGTAATGAAAAAAATATTTAACACCATTCCAATGTCTTTGAGTTGGTATAAAGTTATATCTTGTAAGGAGATTTACAGAAAAATCTATGTCGAGTGGAATGCAATTTGTAAGATAAATTAATGCTCCAATTGCACTAAGGTATGGTACTTCAAGACTAAGAACATTTTCTCCATCTTCAAGGGAACGAAATGGATCTTTTTTCACATCAAATGATCGAACAATCATATGTGATGCCAATGGATGTGTATTATCATATAAAAACGTTTTAAAACTTTTTTTGTATACGTAGATTAGTGAACAAATAATCTATCCGCAAAATGTTCAATCTACAATTTGAGAAAAAATTTGATTTTTCCCAAATTCTTCATCTCAAATTTATTTTTCAAATAGTCAGTAGTTTTGTTGAACTCTTTAGGAGTTTCAATTAAATTTAAATTATCAATATAAACTGCCACAATTGCAAATCCAATATATGTTTTCTTTATGAAAACACATGGATAGACGTCGTCATTATTATAACTCACCTTCAACAAATATTCACTAAGGCGGTTATACCACATACATCCAAATTGTTTTAATTTATATAATGATCTTTGCAATTTAATTGAGAACATAGTTTTCAGGCATGTATCATTTGTTCCCCATATTTTAAGTCCATCAGGCACTTATATATATATATATATATATAAGTCACTATAAAGTGAACCATACAAATATACAGTTACTACATCCATAAAGCGTATACAAGCTTTTGTGACACTGTCAAACTAATTAAGAATCTAAAAGTGATGGTGTCCATTATGGAAAATATGTTTTCTCATAATCAATTCTTGGTTTTTGTGAAAAACCTTGAGCTACTAGTCGAGCTTTGTACCTTGTAATTTCATTATTTTTATTTCTCTTTCATAAAAAAAAAATCATTCGTATTAAACAGGGATTATATTTTTAGGTGTTCGAACTACAAGTCTAAACACTTTTTCGTTTTTCCAAATAATTCAATCTCGCCTGTATGGCTTCTTTCCATTTTGGCCAATCATTTTTTATTTGACGGTCTTTAACTGACTGTGGTCTAGAATCCTCATCTTGCATACTATTAAAAGCCACATTAAAGGTGAAAATATTGTCTATAATAACATTATTTCTTTCCCATAATTTATGAGATAAATATAATTTATTGAAATCTCATTATTTTTCGAACACTTGTGATTTTTCAGGAACCATATCTTCAATATTTGATTGATCAATCTTTTCTAATATTACTTCTTCTTAAGTTTTTGGTTGATTTTTCTTCTATACCTTTCTTTTTCGAGGTACAGAGTCTTTTGAATCAACTGGTCGACCACTGACAATTTGAGATTCATTTGTCACGTTAGATCGTTCTGCAGGGACATCAATTTTTGTTGAAATATTTTATACTGGTATATATGACTTTGTTACTTTGTCACTGACAATTTGAGATTCATTTGTCACGATAGATCGTTCTGCAGGGATATCAATTTTTGTTGAAATATTTTCTGCTGGTATATATGACTTTGTCACTTTTCTTGTGTCAACAAATATATCAGGTAATTCATTTGCAACTCTTTGCAAATGAATTATTTTTTCAACCTCTTGCTCACATTAATTGCTGCAGGGATCAAAATTAGATAGAGCTGTTTCATTTCAAGTAATTTTACCCTCTTTTAGGATGTAGTTTTTCCCTTCCAAAGTTAGGAAAGTCGTTTCATCAAAACAACAATATACAAAACGTGCATTAAATAAATCACCCATTAAAAGCTCAAGATACCTAATAATTAATGGTGAATCAAAATCCACATGAATTTCAAGTTTTCATTGGGGACCCATTTTATTATGTTGTGGGGGAGAAATAGGAACTTGGACTGTACAATCAAAAATCCGTAGGTGAGAAATATTAGGTTCATAACCAAATGCTAATTACAAATGTAAATATTGATAATAGGCAGTTGATCTAATATGAACCAATGATGCAGCATGTAATATGATATGACCCAAAACAGAAGCGGAGTTTTGTTTTCATAAGTAATGGCCTATCAACAAGTTTTAAACGTTTAATAAACGGCTCCGCCAAACAATTTTGTGTATGGACATGCGCAACTGAATGTTCAATTATAATCCCAATTGACATACAATAATCATCGAATGCTCGTGATCTAAATTCACCATCATCGTCAAAGTGAATAGTTTTAATTGAGTAATCGACAAATTGTGCTCGTAATTTTATAATTTGAACAAGTAGTCTAGCAAATATTACATTCATAGTGGAAAGTATGCAAACATGTAACTATATAGTAAAAGAATCAATTAATATCATAAAATAATGAAATAGTTCACATGGTGGGTGTAGGGCTG